TTTGGGTTTTTATCTATGAAAATTTTTTCTCCAATGCGATAGTTATCGCGTGAAAACTGTGCATCACTTTACACATCAAAAGCCTAAAATCGTGCAAAGACAAACACAATGTTGTGTGTTCAACAGTTGCTTTCTTGTCTACAAGGTGTCGCCTTGTTTCGAAAGCAAAACGTTACAACAATATAGTGAAACATACCACTTCGACACACTTCCGAGATACGCCGACGAAATTATACCGCCATGTACCGTAAATTTTTTGAACGGTGCGTTATAACAATACGGGTGTAAACGTTGAATGGCAGGCGGTTAGTTTCAGTTTACTTCGCGCCGGCTGGATCCAGCAACCGCATAAGAGAAGGGTAACACTGAACACCGCGTACGAATTCATTCTGTGTAATTGTTCCATCATTGTCCCGGTCGAGCTTTGCAAACAGCTTGTGCGTGAACTTTTCCGGCGTGTTCTCGTCTCTTGGAAGATTTACCCGGTCGCCTGCAAGGCGAAAAATCCCGCGCACGATTTCCAACATCTCGGCACGAGAAACCGCGCCGCTTCCATCTGAATCGTACATCTCAAAGGCCCATCGTAGTTTCTGCTCTGTCGATCCTCGCGATATGATAGACAAACCTTGAATAAATTCGTGAAAATCAATTGTTCCATCCTTGTTTTTGTCGAATGTACGAAAAACATGGCCTGCGAAGATAGTCGCGTCGCCTGTGGAATAGTGATTCTTGTAGATCTCCGCGAATTTTTTTTCGGACATTTTACCGTTTGGGCATTTCTCGCGAAACGCTTTATGCCAAGTGTGCAACTCGTCTTCCGTGAATTCGGTTGACAATCGTAACTCTTGGATATCTTCCGCCGTCAATTTACTTTTGCCTTTTTTCAAAGCATTAGGTTTTGTCCCCTTGTTTCCCATCTCCTTATGTTCGAAGTACGACGAACTAGCAATACCCGCCCCCAAGTGAAAACCAACACTAGCTAAGCACTGCAAGTGTTGAATTTAAATTCACGACGATGTACAGGACAGCCACAGCACACGATTGGTCGCAGGTTAATTTGCATAGAAAAACTCCAGAATCTCTCAATACAGTGACTTTGTCGTGGTGACGATATACAAATGATTCTTGATCGCGCCAAAGGTGCGTGTAAATCATTAATGAGCTCAGTAATGGAAATGTTTTCATTTGCGCGACCGAGAAAAGCAAGATAAAAGAAATAAAAGTAGGTCAAAATCAGACCACAACGAAAGATATTTCTCAGCTGTAAAACTCCAATTTTTTTTAAAAGAATACTTGCGACGCGTACGTTTTATTAGTGTTTTCTTAATGATATGGAAATTTCCTTAGCACGCTTTTCCCTTTAATTTGGCCTATTAAAGGTTCGTCTTTAAAGGTACTTTTCAGTGCAACATCGGTTTTCAATGACAACTAAATAAGTTTTCCTCGTCTGATAAGCGAACAATTACGCGAAAAAAACTTACCATCGTTAATATTAATGTGGCAAACAATTGAAATATTGGTGTCGGAAAAATTTAAAGTTCCGCGGCGGTCTTATTTCTGACCAATAACTTTGCCAAAATTTGGTTTTCTTATTCGAGTAAAATCTTCCCCTTCACCCACGCGTTTGCGAAACCATTTGAAACACGCCTGTAACCATCTGTTACGGCAACTTTCCTCATTAAAAGTCGAAGCGCAGGAGGCCGAAACTGTAAACATAGCACAACAGAAATAAAGAGAGTCTCCAAAAGCCGTCGAAGGGTTAACAGACAATTCAGGGAAAAAAATGTCCTCGCGTGGATACACTGTCATCATCAGTCTTCAGAATATCGAAGAACAGGATTCTTGATAAGCAGATTGTTTGGTCTGGAGTAAGAGATTAACCTTATCTACGCCAAGATGTTAATCTGTCGCGAATGTTTAGCGCGAGCGAGAAATTCAAACAGTAGATTTTTCGGTGATACTAAGTAATTTTGGAGGTAAGCAATTAGCAGGAAATTCTACAGTTTAACCATAACATAAAATCATAAGCCAAGTCTCATGACACTGATTCTATTTATCGAAAAGAAAAAAAACATTCTTCTAAATCTTTATTAAGCATCGAAAGAAGATGTAAACAAATTCAGTGAATAGCCTATAGCTAGTTTGTTTGTTTTTAACAGTACTAAAAATGTTGGATTACACTTTAGCAGATTTATTAATACAAAAATGTTTACTCCAAAAAGCCTAAGGAAAGGCCGGAATCATGCTAGATAAATATATGATATCCAAGCTGTATCAAAAATGCATGTTTATTATTGATTCAACCCACTAAAAAGATGAATAAATATTTTACAAGAAAACTCTTACTTCTTATGAATATTTACAATGTTAATTTCTCGTTCTTTTTCTTCATCTCGATTTCATTTATTGAATTTTCGCTAATGTTGGATCATTCATTTTCGATCTATGATGTTATGAAGAACTTAGTAATGTGCAATTTAGCATGGATCATGATCAGATATCAAACAAAGCCCGTAGAATTTTTAATTCCCATAAGTAATTCAGTAGTTACAGTGACATTTAAATTATCTTGTTCGGTGAAATATTATCAGTAGATAACTGGTATTAATTATTTGAATGTTTCGACAGAATTCTACAAACAATCAGCTAGTGAACTCGCATCAATTCGCTGCAGACAATAACAATCCTTGCATATCCGCAAATTTCCGGTATTAGGACGCAACCAAAATACGTCCAATATCATTAACCGCCTTGTCGGGGATCTTATAAATAGACGACGAAAATCTCGCTACAATTAATGAATGCTATACACTCCAGCACGAAAACAAATCAAAAACTTGTCCTTGCTTTGTTTCGGCTCAATTGGAACTTTCTATCAAGCGTTTAGATGAGTTTGAATTACAATTTCATTTCAGTTCTAATCCCCAGGAGGTGATGCTCTCCATGTTAAGGAATAAATAAAGTGTTACTTTCCTAATAGCAGAATTGGAATTAAAATCAGGGCCCGAGGTTGCGGGCTCTGAGGCATAGTGCTAATTAAAAAGAATAGGAACGGCTCGCTACAACACCAAGACACAACATGATCAACACAAATATCTCTAACACCTATATGTTCAAGAAACGGTATGGCACTAAAAGTGCTAATTACAAAAAATTCTTTTAACACTGAAACACCTAGAAAACAGTATTTAGCTCTTTCTTCATTTACATGTTAGATTGTTTTAATTCATTATTCACGTTTTCCTCTCTGGCTTGTGTCTATCAACATTGTCCTATCCGATACTAAAATTTCCGAAGCTTGAAGAGTAAACTTGAAGTGTAAAAAAAAACTTACTCTAGCCTTCAAAGTTTCCTCCAAAACTCTTACGTGACGATTCAGGTCAGAAATTTTGCCCCTATTTGTATTGCAAATTGGAACTAATAGATCCTTTTCTAATACGGTAAAAGAATGCATTGGTTATTAAGAGGTTATTTCCCTAAATGACTATGGCTGAGTCTACATTTCAGCGATATTTAAACGCGCCCATCTCATCGGCTTTGGGATGACCGGTCAAACAAGAAAAGCCGGTCATACTGGTTTTTTTGGAACTCTTACCACCAGCCGTTGTGGCTGAATCAGTTACATTGCGGTCAACAGCCAAAAACCTTCATGTAAACCATCTGTGTTAATCGCAGCTTGTTATCGCTACAATCAACGAACAGATCCCTGATCTTGGCGAGTGTAGGCGTTAATTCGCTCATATCGAACGATCTAAAATCCGTTAGTTCTGCTTTAAAGTAAATATCACGTCCTTGTAAAACAATATCGATATCTACCGAATTCTTTTCCTTTTTTTTTTCGAATGAATCACCACCCCTCTTAGGGTTACGTCTAATTGCAATTCCATACAAAGAGTACAAAAATATTAACGAGGGCGATGCGACCAGAGCGCGATACTACACTTCACCAATTAAAACCCACACTCCTTTACAGCCTTAAATGTTTATTTTCACGATGATCAGATACGATCCACTGATAAAACCGATATCAGTCTTCGTTCAATTTGCACCTGGACGTGTTCCTTATCTACATAACAAATCTCATTTATTACTTCCAAATTAAAATGTGTGTTTTGGCGACCAGCCGCGTACAAGACTGAAACGGGTACATTGAAATGCATTTTACGCCGCCAAACTTGCTCCTCTTATGAATAGTTAAGCTCCGTGGAAAGCAAGGATTAGCTTATAAAACAGATGTTGCGAAAGCAGACTGATACAAAAGAACAACTGAACGGATTGGTTTTTATCTCTTTCGCGCCCGCTACACATTAAGATCATTTGTTAAAATCTTTACTACTGGACTGTGAATTAGAACCACTCTTGACTTTTTGAAAGCTTTGCCTGATGGTTTTTTCATTTCACGGGTTCTTTAAATTGGAAATAAATGAGGGATCCTTGAGTTCGTTTGAGAGAATTAGACCCTTGTTTAAGCTAAATAAATAATAAGCCATTTCGACCATTGCCTCTTATTCCGCACTGGGAATCGTTTCATATTTAATTTGCACTGTGAAAGTTATTGCTTCGTTCCAAACAAAAGAGGAAATGGCGGGGGATCATCTCTGTTTACAGAAAATGATCAATCACTCCTACCTTGAGCTTCGGGCATGAAAACTATCGGCCGATTTTTAAATGTGCGCGCTGATCACGCTGAAATGTCGTGCAATCCCCTCTTTAAGTCTTACTCAAAGTTTCTGCATAACTCTCCATCTGATGACACAAAGTATTCAAGGCGGAAAACGTTTTCAGGTGCGCTGGTTCTCTGGAAGGTTATTTCCTAATTATGACAAATTAATCATTACAGTTTCCTGCGAACGTTTTAATTTTTTCTTATATTTTGTGTCAGCATTTGTTACTTATGTTTTTGTTTAAAATTTTACGCGCGAAATATTAGCTCGCAGCGGGCCAAAATTGATTCACTTGCGCATGCCCAACGTTTGAAACACAGCGTTCCAACGTAAGAAGAAGGATAATTAAGAGTTTTCGTAACCAAAGTTTTTTGATTGCGGGTATCCTTTAATCTATCATTTAGTTGTGAGTTTCATCAAAAAATTTGTACGCTCTTGAAAAAACGTAATTTTTTCCTTAGTTGGTTGAATACAATTCCTGAAAGACAACTTGGGTCTGACAGCCTGAAAGAACGCCACCTAGCCACTTCAACGTTCGCACATGCGTAGACGTTTGAACGCTGTCAATCCAATGACAACTTAAGTATCAAAGGAAGACAGAGCTCGACAGAGCTGAATAACGTCTGCGCATGCGCTGGACTTTGACGCGAAAAACGGATTTTGAGTCGTCTGAACGTTCGACTTTCTATTCTGTGGCATCTAGGCCTTGTTTCCTTGCTGCTTTTCTTTTACAGAAAAACCTCGAAAGACCTTGTACATCCCTTAAATATTTTCAAAAATTGATTTTCTCCTTAACAACACTGGAAATGGGAAAATGCCTTCAACGATGCCAGCCCCTTTTTTCTCCGCAAATTTCGTTGAATTTTTAACCTCGAGCGCTTGGGCCCGCGTTATTGATCGCATAGCTGTGACGTGACATTTCGTTATTCAGTTCTGCCTCAAAGGAATGTTGTCGAGTAACAAAGGTCTGTTATTAGTGTCATACAACTGAAGTCCACTTCCGATGGTTCTCTATTTTGACTTGGTCACAAACAAATCTGCCTCTTGATTGCTTAAAGAATTCGTCACTCAAATTAACCAACGTTAAGGAGCCTAATTTGAAACAATTGCATTAAGTTATAACCTTACCAAGAGTTCTTCAGCCTTTATAAATACCGCGACAGCCAGTGATTCATTTTGCTAAAGAATTCTTGAAAAAAATATTTCTAAATGATGATTTAAGCGCTTTTCATACTCTCTACATTATAGAATTAATTACGTTTTCTGTAAAAAGGAATTTGTCGTCTTATTCATAATTCAGAAGCTTTCTAAATTACACCAACCACTTAACTCATGTTTTGTCAAAACTGAAATGTGAAAGGTCTGTATTTTTTGATGTGCTAATTGCGGTTAAGAACCTTATTATCACTGATTTGTCTTCAGAAAGAATTATCATCCGATGAAAGCGCAAAGATGCCTGGGGAACGCACGGAGTTTTAGTAAGTATGCTAAAATTCAGATAAAATGGCGGAAACGAAATCGAAACCAATCCCACGAAAAGACAAAATTTGTGTGTGGACTTTTCCTGAAGGGACACAGCCTGCAGTTCGAGTTGAAGTCGACGGAGGGAAAATCAAAGCTGAAGATCTCCTAGAAATAGCCGGGAAAACTTTGGGAATTAACGCCAACAGCCTACAGTTTTTCGGTCTCTTCCGCGGAATTGAAAATCCTACTAAGAAGTACGGTAACAACGAATTTATTTACCTTCCATGCCGCTACGTTATATCAATACAAAAGTGGTCTTTCGACGTTCCGAGAGAGCAAAAGCATCTTAAAACAGATGCCGGCGCAATGCACTTGATCTGTTTGCAGTGTATCGAGGATATTCGATGCGGTAGGCTTAAGCCGAAACCAGATCACATTCCTCTACTGAAGGAATACAGAAATCCAGCTTTTCCTTGCGACAAGCAGTACGTGGAACTTTGCCAAAAAATGTTCGGGTATGGCTACGTTTTCCTGCACGATTGCACAATTCAGAATGATGTTAAAATGAAGGAAGTCTCACTCACACAAGGAATGCAGGTTAATCTGATAGCCAACCGAAGAGGATTAATGATAAAATCAAGTGAGTGCGTGATAATTGTTCGCTCTTTAGCTAATAAAACCATAGAAAATTTACGTAATCATTGTAACGCAGTGTTTAGGAATTTAGTCATACATCATTGGATAACTTTCTTTAAAATAGATTGCCTGTTTATGTAAAGCGAATCGAAATTATCGAAAATAAGAGATTGTAATGTGAAGTAAAAATTTCCCTGCGCTCATTTCCATGGAAGAACATCAAGGTACCGACAAACGATGGAAAATTCTTTTTTCGAGTTGATGCGTAGATGGCTGGTCAAAAACGGCGCACAGGAAAGAAATTAAAGAAAATTACAAATTCAGAGAACTCGAGCCGAAGGAACTCATACTTTTCGGCTCATTTCTTGTTGTTTCATTCATTTTGAAATTACGAAACAAATTCAAAATCATTATAACGACGACAACGTGAATAGCAACACTGAACTAACGATTCAAGACATTAACGGTATTTCACCATAGAAGGATAGCGTTTTGGGATCGCTACCCTGTGTTAGTTTTCATCGTTCATTTGTAGCTCGCTCACCGAGACAATGTTAAGGTAACAAATGTCTTTTGAAAATCATTATAACCCTCAAGACACACCTCTAGCTTTCACTTGTTTCGTGTGATTCTCAACTGAGACTTATGGGTCTGGTGAACGAAACGAACGAACGCTGAGCTCAGGGTCGATAAGTCCTGGGTCGAGTCCCGGCCTGGTCATTGTGTTCTTGTGCAAGGTATTAAACTATCGTAGTGTCTCTCTCCACCCAGGAGTATAAATGGGTACCAGCAAATTGTGGGGGGATGGGGGTGGGGGAACCTGCGATGGACTGACATTCCATCCAGGGGGAGCAGCGACCACTTCTAGTCACTTTGTTCTTCAGCGACCAGGATAAGCGCAGAGATAAATTCTTTCGTTAGCCTTGGAACACCTTACCCCTTTTATTCACTCTCAACAGAGAAGTCAGCATTTTTCGCTCCATGGCGAAAAATCCGTCGTTGGTCTCAGGCTCAGGGTGACAGCATTCACTTTGAGATTTACTTCACAGAGGAGCTGCGGTTTGAGTGGGTAGAGGTAGAAACAGAACAAGTGGCCTTCCTCATGTCAGTTATCGCCGAGTTTGTCTACCTTATGAAAAAAGATCTCGATGAACCAGAGGTGAACACATCCATTTGGAGCAAGGGAATCCCAGTGAAAAAGCTGACATGGAAGCTCATCAAGAAAGAGCTGTTCTCCAAAGACAAAAAACAAGAGGAGAGTGACGACGAAGAACAACCCTGCCAGGGATTTGATAACCTGGAGGAAGAGGCTTCGACTGATGATGAAGGGTCAAGTGATGACGAAGAAGGGGCTAAAGCTGCTACATCTTCACGTAAAAGCTCCCAATACCGTTTCAGTTGATTTTTTTAGGATATCTTTCACAGTTGTCGTCGTAATTAGACCAGCAAAGCATCTGATTGCCGTTCTACTCCTTCATATAGACAAACAGTTTTTCGAATTGTGTTTTGCTCCTACCCTTCTCAATATAATAAAGGGAAATAACAAACACTCACAAGTAATCATGAAAGTGACACGTCTCCTTAATATCATAAACGTTACGCAAGTAGGAAATAACCGGTTCTTCCCCCTCAACCTCTCCCCGCTTCCTGTTCTCTCCCTTTTACCCCTTCCCCCCCACTTTACCCCTTCCTGTCCCCTCCTGCTTCCTCCCCCCCCCCCACTTCACCCCTTCCTGTCCCCTCTTCCTCACCCCTTCAGCCCCCTTTTCCATCCCTAGTCCCTGTTCCTTTCCCCCTCACCTCTCCCTGTTCCCTCCTTCTCACACCTTCCTGTCCTTTTTCCCATCCTGTTCCTTCCCCCTCACCCCTTCCAGCCCCTTTCCCTGCTTCCTGTTCTCTTTCCCCGATTCCCTATTGACTGTAAATGAACAGGTTCACTGATTAGCAGAGACACGGTAGTCATGTTTCTCTCAAAAACATACAATGTAAATTCAAGATCATTTAGCACTTAAATTTTTTTATTGAGATGAATTATGTGACCTGTGTAGGTAGCACAATTGAGATCTTGGTCTGTATAGCTTTAAAAAACTGTGTATGAGTCATATTTTTGAGGAAAAAGAAAACCTACAATTTAACTCAAGTATTCCATACTTGTTAGTTAACAGTTGTTTATGATATCGATTTTTTTTCTCAAGTAATCAATAAATGAGCCCAAAAGTGGATAAAACAAACAATGTCAATTGATTATATTAACAGCACATGGGGTTTACCAAATAACCAAGAAATAAAAAATACAAGTCATTTCAACATCATTGTCAGGACCAGACCCTAGTTCTAGTTTCATATTGTTTCCACATTGAAAAGGGAATATTGTTACATGTAGTTTGAAAGATCCTTACAGGCAGTATGGAATCAAACCTTAACATTTATCATGGAACATTACTGCACAATTCACAAATGAACTCATCGTCTTCTTACACTGCCTACCCCAACTTTCTTCTGCCCAACTTTGCTGGTTGTCTTTTTCTTACTTCCAGATGAAAAGTTCTTCGCAAACCAGTCTGAGATGTCAGGGAGATCTTTTGACTGGTTAAACATGTTCATTGAAGACTGCATTTCCTTGGTAAAAATCAAATAATGATTACACCAAAGGTACAAACAATTAATTAGTATTAATGCAACCCTAAAATGAACTGAGCTGTGTATAGGAAAAAGCCAGAAACATTTTCTTTCTTAGGGATTCAGTTAGAAAACAGTCACATATAAGATCTAGTGGAACAATACACAGTGGAGCAAGCAAAAGGAGGGAGAGAACAGAAAAATCCTTCCATTTATTCCATTATTTTCTTGTAAGTTCCTCTTGTTTCTCCAGTCAGCACTACAGCATTATTGGACACAAATAACATCAAATACATGGCTGAGGATTTTTTAAAAAAGTGCATGATGCTACTGAAATACAGTTTATCCCTCTAGTCACCCAACATCAGTATGCACATTCTCCATACTGTCCTCTATAACTTTCCTAAGGTGCTGACAAGGAGAATTTGTTCAACAATCAAGGGCTTCTTTATCTGGTGATAATTTCCTTTACTATTGTGACCTTAATGTGGACTCAATATAATAATATTGTGAGGAGAATTAGAAGCTAGTCACTCCTATGGGTCAGAGGGTTAGGCACTAAGGATCAATATCAGTATCTGGGCAACTGCCCACCTACCCCTCCCCTAACCCAACAACAGTCAATTGATAACAACTTAGGGTTAATGTTGGGTTAGGGGAGGGGTAGGTGGGCAGTTGCCCAGATACTGATGCTGATCCAGCACTAATCCTAAAGTTTTTTATCATTTGATCAAGTCTTAGCTAAGATCAACACAAGCAGCCTGAGTGCTTACTCTGTTCATACATATTGTAAATGCTGAAAGTTTCTTCCTACCTTTTGTGTTTCTGGATCCTGACTGTTAATAAGTTTTGGTAAAACTAACAACAACAGGAGTGGTAGAACCATCATCAGTACCTGTGAAAAAGAAAAAGAATAAATTGGGACCTTGGCTTTAATCCAGGATCAAAACTTAAACTTACAGTAGTTTTGGTATCCCTAAGCCGAAGGAACAAAAAGATGAACCATGTGCTACAAGATAGAGTCAAATATTCAGACTAACTCCAGGCTAGCCAAATGATGTTATCATATTAAAAGCAACCACAAGCTGAAGTGCACATGGTTGTAGGAAAACTTTCGTCTGCCACTCATTAACCAGTGTCCTCTTTTTCGGTCAGTAACCATTAAACAGCTGTAATTTACCACCTGAAGTACCACTTGTTACCACCTCAAAATTGCTTTGGATTCTTGAAAACTAAACAGGTTAAAAGACTGCACTACTGGTTTGAAAAGTTCTTTGACTTCTCATGCTCAAAATAAGAACATTGAACGACTGACAAAGCTTTCTGAGAAACTACTCTTCCTTTTTTATTCTATACACAGTTGCTGGGACAACTTACCATGGGATTAAAAAGCATATCAGTGACTTTCCACTGTTCTCTCTTCTCAAAGAAAGGTGCTGGTTCTTTTACTTTGAACTTTAGGGGATATGGGACAGTGACAACAGCTGAATTCTGAAGAAAGTTCACTTTTCTTGCCCTGATTTTACCCTTTGCTCTGCCACTGATGTCAACTCTCACAGGCTCAAAGAGGTTGTTTGGTGACAGAACTTCTACTACATATGAACCAGCTGGAACATCATTTACAGTAAAACTGCCATCAGTTTTGAGAAAGCCAATGTAACTCCCACCATCTACAAGAATTCTGGTTTGAGAAATCCAATCTAATAGAAAGAAAAACACTTCATTAATCTCATTGCCTGGTTAGCTCATGTTGTGGAGCACTGGACTGTCTGTGAGGTCAAGGGTTCGAGCCCTTGACCAAACCAACGCTTAGGGTCTTCAAATAACTGAGGAGAATGTGTTGTCTTTGTTGTGACATCTGTAAATGGTTAGAAATTCTAGTCTTCTCTGAAAAGGACAGAAAACCTTGGGTTCCGTAGAATTTGTCCTTTCAATTCAAATAAATTTTCTGGCTAACAGGTCTTGGAACTGAAAACTGCATCCTCTGGAAGGTGTTATCTTGATATAAGACCAAATGCTCCTACCTAATTCTCAAGGAAATATATGGCAGGCAGTGATGAGAATTACTATTTGGATCTTGAGGTTTTTAAAGGGTTAAGACACAGATCAGTTGGTGAAAAGCCATTGACATTGCTGAATAGCTCATTCTAAAATTAATAGTTTGGAAAAAGATTTCTAGAAAATTGTCGAAGAATTAAGTCTACATAGTCTTGAAACTTAACAGTTTTTATATTGTGGGGGCTATTTCTAGCTCTAATTAGTGATCTAATGGTTTGTCAAGAATTGAAACTTCTGAAAGGGTCAAGCATTTGTTACAATCTGTAACACAAGGCTCCTGTGGCTTACAATGCCACTTTATTGTACTCACTACATTTTTATTTCATATGTATTCCCTGACAGAACATACACTCGAAATAATAGAATATTTTTTTTGAAATATAACATTATCCTTATAATTTCTGCATGTTAGATCTGATCTAAATTCCATTGTCTGTATTTTAAACCGAGCACAGATGGTCTATTTCATTCCACTCAACTGTACGGGCTAACTTAATTCAGTTAACCTGCTTATAAGGTTATCCTATTCCACATAATTATATATTTAATCTTACAAATGTAAGCTTTTGAAACAAACAATTCTGTTTTACTCTCAGGTGTAAATTTATAGCAGAATTTATTGATGAGACCTTTAATAGCATATTATCATGAGTACATTTCAAAGCTACCTGCAACAAAATTAGAGAGCGCTAGAAGAATTATCCAAACCACTGTTATAAGAAAATACACAGTTCAAAGTCTTACCAGCTGGTTTGAAGCCTTGTATGGTCACTTTTCCATCGATTTTGTAGCGTTCTAAAGACTCGTCGCTATTCCCGTCTGCTTGCCGAACGTTTGGAAGAATATTAAGTATCATTAACACTACATAAATGTACAGTTCTGTCAATTCCATTGCTGCTATGACTGACGAAAGCAAGTTATTAACGTTACAAGAAATAAGATGCGATGAATAGCCACAATTTTACTTCTTCACTTCGTTGATAGGAAGATCGCTGACCTCATACGCCGATTAGTTTCCAGGCTACTGTCATAAATTCACGGCTAAATAAAACTGCCGAAGGTCGCCTGACGATTTTCACCGTAGAGCCATTTCTTTCAGTGCGGGCGTTTTATAAGGTCGAGTTGACATTACAAGTTTACAATCGTTTGTTCGACCAGCCACATTAGAGTTAGAGTGTATGTTGCGAGATGCGGGCGGGGAAGGACGTGAAGAATTTCTAATTCCCCATCTCCTTCCTTTGGACCGTCGCTCACCCCCTTGGTACAAATTTCTTTCTCTCCCTAGCCTCCCACTGCTGTATTTATCAAAGATGGCAGCTGTAATTTTCACGAAGAAAATACTGAGCAATCACTTGCCAAAATTACGGCTGCTCTGCAGACTACATCAGAAAGGTATGTTTACTTTCGTGATTTGGTTCATGACTGAGCTTGTAATTATATCTTTTGATAAGATTTCTGCACACCTCCATATTCATTATGCTTACCGTAGTTCTTGGATATGAGAAGGAAAAATGATGAAAACACTACATTGCCTTTGGAGCTATGACTTTGTTTTAACTAGAGTAGGAGTTATCGGAAATCTGTCTATTTCTTTTCACAAGGGAAGCATTATCAGGGTACCGTTTCTCAAGAAATGTACCTTGTACATCACAATAGGTTCAGAAACTTAAGGCTCTGTATTACCCCTCAGATAAAGCATTGGTCAGCTCACACCTTTGGCATATCATCAATGAGAAAACTCTATGCCTTGTAGCAATTTAAGTTAGGATTGATCAAATTCCCATACTGAAAAAAAAATGTCCAAAAAAAAAAAAATGTCTAGGTGATCAGGAGATAAAATGCCACACATTTAGTTTGACCTTCACAGCTTTTACTAATGCTCTCACATATCTAAGATCTCATAAAATGATGCATTGAGAATAAAGGGGCTGAAATGGAAATCCTTTTCACAGGATTTCTTGTGCTGTGAAATTTGCCAAATAAAAAAGTTTCTTTTTGAAATTGTCTATCACAACCATGATGCTTTCCAACATACTGAATTGAACATAGGTATAAACTTAAATGTGGTGCGATATGTTAAATTCCCACAGAACTGTTCCATGCAGTGAGGAATTCCCTCCCATAACCCAGCCACTGAGTTCAAATTTCCTTCCTCCCAGGCTTATCAGAGTCAAATTTTGGGGATGTACTCTCTGGATAGGAAGGGGGTACAATGTTGATAGTGATTTTGTTTGATTGATACAACAAAAGAATGAGCAGACCTTCCAACAGGGAACAGACATAACCATGGAAACCCCTCATTTCTCTTTTGTTTTGAACAGGCAATACTCCCCAATTTCCAGATTTGGATCCACGATGCAAGCAGTTTTCCATCTCACATATTGATCATATCGTGCTAACAGTTGAAAATGTAGAGGCTACAGTACAATTCTACACCCAGGCTCTTGGGATGGATGAGGTTACATTTGGTCAAGGTAGGAAAGCTCTTGGATTTGGAAATCAGAAATTCAATTTGCATCAAAAAGGGAAGGAGTTTGAACCAAAAGCTGCAAATCCAACACCTGGTTCAATTGATATTTGCCTTATCACAAACACACCAATATCAAGTGTTATCACACACCTGAGGAGTCTAGATATAAAGATTGAGGAAGGACCTGTTCAGAGGACTGGTGCCCAAGGACCAATTACTTCCATTTACCTTAGGGATCCTGATAGAAACCTCATCGAGGTGTCTAATTACAATGATAATCATTGAGCAGATAGGCAAGGATTCTTAGAAATAAAAATACAGACTTTAATGGGCTTTGTCTTTACAGAATATGTACTTATTGACTAAGTGGGAGGGCTGGAAAATATTTGGCTTGAGGTTGCGACATATGAACCATGCTGTGCTCAGTCAGTGCTTCATGACTGAGAGCCAAATATTTCCCAGTCCAGCCTGACACAACTCAGTCAATAGGCAAATTGTCATATGACCACTTTGAAAATTTTGTTTCAACTTAAAAAGGACAAGGTAGACAGACACACATGAGACAACCACAAAGGAGATTCATAGATTGTATTTGAAGCAGTTGTTTAAAGTGCCAATTGCAACATTGATAATGCATGACACTTTATCTGAAAGTTTTTTGATGAGTGAAATAAAACATAAAAAATTGAGAGATATATACTACAGAGATGTATGACATTGCATTGCATGTTTTCATTCATAAGTCCATCAGCTGAATAGCCAGTCAATATGGAGAGTATTACTATCTTAAATGCTCCCTAAAAAGGACAAAATGAGAGAACATGATTATTAGAGAAAAAAGGTTTGCATTTTAGTTTGTTATTATGATACTTGAGGTAGTTAGTGCAACAGTTTCATGAATGAAGCTTACAAGCTTCAAAGTATGAAGAAACATTCAAAATAAGAAAATTTCAAGTTCTAAAACATTAAAATATTTTGACCTGGCTTTCATCAACAGAACCATTTAAAAAGGGGCTTGACCACAGCAAATGATTTCACTTTATAATGTACTTAGCACATTTAAATATAACAGGGTGAACCCTAGATCAAGTCACAACACATTTTTGTTTCAAGTTACACAGTAAAACAGACTGGTACCTTTACATCCCTCAGAACATGACTATGTGCTGAACCTGTGCTTGTAGCTGGAATGATCTGAAGAGAGTGAAATGATGGGATACATTATTCCTCATCTGGCTTGTAGCTTAAGAAAATCAGCTTGTATCCATCTAGGAATTATTACTAAATGTGTTTTGTTTGTTTGTTTGTTTTAAATTGTAAAAAATCAGGAATGCTTTTTCATTCAAGCAGCTATTAGCAAGATAGTTTCTGTAAATAAAAATTTCTTCTGAAATTGGGTGAAACCATTTGAGTCAGATATCTGGTAAATGAAGTTTTGTTCTCTCTCTTTCTCTCTGTATTCCACCACGTATTCAGCAAACACAACTTCTTTGATGCAAGTTCAGTTTCAAAAAGTGCAGGGATAACCAACTTATTTTGGTTTAAGAACTAAGCATGCTGTGCACCCTCAGCCTTATTTTTTTCATTTTACTCACCGCTCCAAGAAGATGACATGGAACCAAAGCCGAGGTCATAACTTGATGGACGAGAATAAGGCTCTGTGCTTCCTGGGCGAGGGGTGCTCGTTATGGCCTGAGAAGTGGATCAAGAACAAGCAGAATTGAAACAAGGCAAATGACTTCAGTTCAGTGTAGCTCTCATTTATGAACTTACTTGTGCTAACCTAAGTCTTTTTGGTAATTTAAACCAAAAAAAAAAAAAAGTGAAAGACTTGTGAAAAAAAATGGTTCTTTGGGTCATGAACCATTCTCTGTCTCCTTATTGTATCACGTTAGAAACATTTACACCCATACAAGGAAGCCTGGATTTCTTGTCCACTATACATCCATAAAACAAAATTCTAAAAATTGAAAGTAATTAATTTTCAGAAATTCTCTACATACCTTTTTTGTCCTCTGTGGTGATATTCGCCTAGTTACTACCTCTCCCTTGGCAACAACCTTCCTCTCCCTGATTAAAGCCGGCCACACAAAGTAATCGATAGTTGTGGCACTGAATTCAGAGTCATACGTTCTTCTGTAGCGTATGTCATTAATGACGTCACCTTCCAACGCTGCGGGAAGGTCAATGGGAGGATCCAGGGATATCATGGCCCAGGCCACTCGTAGAACCTCACGGACGAAAGGAACGATATTTTTCTCATTGCACGAGACGTAAGGTGCGATTGTTGAGTTGCGATATAACGATTTTATCACGTCCTGGTAAGAAGAAAGACAAATCAAAAGGAACTCTCATTCGTGTTTTCAGTCAGCCTTGGATCTAAGTGAAAATTAAGGAAATGCATGGTTCTGATTAGGAATTTTCGCTCACCGGAATTAGCGTCTCAATGTCGTACAGTTCTGTATTCTTTTTCATGTAATTATCTACTAGCTCGTTGATTTTGTCCGACTCCTTCGGATCACCCTTGGGGCCGGTTTGTAAAGCCTGGTTCATCCGGGTTCTCATCCTGTGCTGTTCTAGTTTGCTGACTGTAAAGCACTCCTGCACAAATGGTACAACATGCGGTTGAAATGTTATAATCAAATTTTAACTCTTTACAAACCCAATTCTAATTCTTTATCGTCCGATTATATTCTGGTGGGTGACTTAAGGGACGCTGGAGAATTTTTTCCCTTTACTTTGGCAATCTCTAACACGAAGCTCTTTTCCGCTGCGCATGTCTGGCTATTAAACCCGAGGCATCGAAAATGATTTATTTGGCTGAGCCGGAGGGGATTTTCCCGTGTTAAGGGTCGTCGGGTTGAAAGGAAGCTCTCCGTTTAAACAGGTCTGATAAGACTTTTTAGGACCCGCCGCAGTAGTTCAGCACAAGACATACCTGTGGAAACTGTTTTAGAGCTCTTTTTAGTGTCGTCTTGTTTATTTCTTACCTCGACGATTGAAAAAACAAATCGTTCAGCTGTTGAGTTATCAGACATGCCCCTCAAGGAATTTATTACTTGTATCCTGTCGTTCTTATAAAGTTCAGCAAATCTTTCAACGAGCTTGGCAGAACGGGAATGGTAAGGTACAATACCATTGACATAGGGTTTCGTCACCAGGCGAATAGGTTCCGGCTCCGCCACAGCCTCGAAGATCTTTTTCTGGAGTCTAGAAATGAGGTTAAACCGGAAAAAGGTTGAGTTCATAGACCGGAAGTCCTAAGTATACAGGTGTTTATTCCTTTTAGGAATTCCTTATTTGAGATTTACGTTCGGTCCTTGATTCGTTCACGCTACGTCAAATAAAATTCGAAAATGCAACATTATCTTTGCAGGTTTACCGTACTCACTATTTTCATTGACTTTTCAGGGGTGGAGAACTCTCTCCACAGCACATGTTGTTAAATAATCACGGCACGCAAAAAAAAAACGCAAAACATTTACCTCCCGTGTAGTTCAGAGTTTTCTCTCTTTAGTTCAAGAATTTCTCTGTTCAGTTCTTTTATCTGGCACTCCCTGGCTACAAGTTCGTTCTTTGTGTAAGTCAACCTTTAATTTGTTAAAATAAAGAAAAAGTCAGCCTTTAGATTATCTTAATCGAATCAACATTTCCATATATCCATCTAGGAGGGCTAGCCTCTTTAGCTCCAGCGCGTTTCCAACATTTAGGTCTCGAAAGAAATTCAATTTGGGGGTTCTGGAATCAAGAATGGTTTCCAATCTCCCTTTGGCATTAGCACTATGCGCTCACGCGAAAATTCATTTTTTCCCTTTCGTGTGACACACACGTACTTTGTGGCTCAGTTGCCTGGCAACCTCGGAGCGTGACATTGTTTAAGCGTCTCGTAAATGATAATTCCCCTATTTTCTCATATTTGTTTATACCTTTTCAATAAGCACTCACTTTTTACGCAATTCACCGATTTCTTGATAGTCTCCTTGTTGATTTTCTTGCAGCTGTTGACGTAAACCTCTCACCTCATCTTCGGCATCCGCTAATCTAACCAAAATTGATAAACAGAAAAAAAGTATTCAGTAACCTCATGCAATATTAATGGCATCTGTGCGTCCCTTCTAAACATTCTACTTTGTGCCAATGTTAGCGGAAAAATTACTCATAACATTCGATTTCTTGATAAAGTTAATCACTGAAATTTAACGAAGACAGTGGAACCTATCGCGCAATTTTTTAAAATTTCCATCGTGAGGTCTCAGTGAGGATCCGAAGTTAAATTTTTCCTTAGTGAAACTGGAAGAAACCCTATGTCCTGCTGAACTAAAAACAAAAATAAACAAAAAAGCTTTGTATGCTGTGAGCTAGTCGCATGATGATTACAGCAATTTAAGTGATTCAATACGTTTTTCTCATCGCCAGTTTTTTTTTTTAAGCAGACTTACTTGATTCTCAGTTCCGCGGCTTCTACTTTGGAGGCACTCAAGTCCTCGTCCATTTTTTTAATCATGAGCTCGTACTTTTCCTTCACGACCTCTACATCTTCCGGGATGATTCTTGCAGTCACAAATCCATTGCAAAGCCAAGGTAAAAGTCGTTTCTTTAGTGCTTCGCTTCCGCCATAAATTCCTCCTTCAGAAGAACACAATTCCAGAAGATAAAACAGCTGTCCCTGTAGCTTGGCGTGTAACTCGATGAGATCACAGCAAAATACAGTGTTTTCTTCGCAACTGTTACGATAACTTGCGTCGAAAAACGTTGTTAACTGTTCGTGTAGAGATTTGAATTCCCCTGTGGCAATCAGGCGGCTGAGAAACCCTACAAAAGTTGTTCCAGCCATCGTACACAAACTACGAGAGCTATAAAATATTCTTCACACACAAAATGTTGTGTTAATGAAGTCTGTTAGCGATCCGTTTCCAGAGGTTCTGTTACAAGTTGTAAATCACGCATTCTCTTCCTCTACTTGCAAATGTTTTTAGCGCCCTCCACGCGCTCGCAATTTTAACACTTCACGCCTTAAAACAAAGAAACTCGGCCAGATGAATACTGACAAATGTATAAGGATTCACCTGTAAAACTGACTAATGACTAGTTTTCAATAGAAAGCTTAGTATCCACTTCAACATGTTACCCAGCGTGTGAGAAAATTAATTCCTGTAAGACCATCCATTTACTGTTTACAAATGTTGTTTAAAGTAAATGCACCTGCCGCTATAACGGACAATTTGTGAGCTGGAAACATGAAGGATTATCGGGTTGTTCTAATCCACTAATGAACTGCAGGTGGTCTCAGTAAAGCTTAACGACAAATTTAGTTTCAAGGTTGCTGTGGGTCTTGGATTAGCGATCTTAGAGTACACAAATACAATTCATGGTTTGCAACAAATTTCTCGAGTCTTAAGACACGTAAAACTTTCCAGTACCGAAAATGTTTCGCAGCGATGCACTTGGGGACTGCAACTTTTTAACGCTTATATTTGACGTCTCACGTCGCATAATGAAATGGAGTTAGGGTAGTGGTGGGAATAACTAAATAAATATGGACAATTTTTAGTCGCTGCATGCAACTAGTAAGGCCATTCACCCAAACCCGTTATAGTTGAAACAATCAATTTTCCTTAACAACCTGTAAAACGCTTTCCTTATTACTGAAGAGTCTTTGTCAGTCTCTCTACAGTAAACACTTCAACCAACTAAATTTGACATTTGCATTTGGAGATCCGTGGTGTTGATTAACTCTCAATATGACACGACATATATTTGTCATATTTGTCATGTCATAAACGTGAGTAAATTCGCATTTCGCAAAACTTTTCATTAAACTCTCTCACCCAAAACCTTAGTATTTACCGGCCGGATATGCAAAACGATCGGGATTAAGCCTGCACAACCCTGACTGACCAGGTTGTCTTTTAATTGGCGCTAGTCAATGTCCGTTAAACTGAAATCAGTTTGGAATAACACTGTATAAGTTTCACAGGAGACATAGACTGGAAATAGCGGCATAGTTCCGACATGAACGTATGTTAAGCTCGATAACTCCGTTAAAATCAACACTTGTTCAACTTCTTTTCATTTTCCTAGAACAGCACTGTTGCCAATATAGGTACCAGTATCAATCCAAACGCTGAGGCTAAAAAAAATTGAACATCGCTACACTGACTACCCAAGCAAATCTAGCCAAATTAAGTAAAAACCTGTCTGCCCGCTCTTGACGTAAAAATATAGATCTTTATTATCAGAATTTATTCTACACTTCCCTCGCCACTGAGCAATTCGCATTTTATAACAAATAAGACTGTTCGACTAAACGTAAAAATTCACCAGTCTTTCTATCACAACATAAGGTCGTTACAACCATCTGGGACCTTAATGGTGATAGTACACCCGTTACCACTTCGACCCTTTTTACATCCGCTGACAAGAGCCTGCGTTTCTACCAAGGCTATTTGTCAACATTGTCCAACTCTTCAAAAAAACGTCCGTGAAAACAGGTAAAACGCGTTGAATTAGCCCGCTTTGTGGATATCAAACAGCTTCGCGAGTTCATTGAGATCATCTTGATCTTTGCCTTCCTTGATGATCTGCAGAAAATGCAACCAGTGGATGAGTTTGAAATAAAAAGCGCAAAAAAGTGTAGGTGGTTTAAATCCGACTACTACCTCCAGCCCGCTATAGGCGGGGAAAGGGGGGAGGGGAGGGAGGGGGGGGGAGGAGGAGAGGAGAGGCGGTCGAAGGAAAGAGATGCTGTGAGCGATGCTGATGTAGAAAAATCATTGAATAAAGTACCAATGATCATTTTCTCTAGTTTGCTTTTCGATTGAATGCAGTTCAACCACGCCCAAAGTAATCGCAACAACCAATCAGAGCTGAGATAAATATCATTTGGAGCCGCTAAAACTCATGGAAATTTGCGGTTGATCAAGTCCTGATTGACTTTAGTTTAAACCTTATTGGTTAAAACGTTGGTACGAGTTTTCTGGATCAATATAATGTGGAACAAAACCAATTCACTTCTCAATTATGTTCATTGAAAATTGCTCTTTGAGGTAATGTTAGTCTGGACTTTTTTCGCTAGTTTGTTGCACTTCGAGACATCACAACTCCATAGTAGCAGTTTCCCTTTTAGGCAGGGGGGAAAGAGATCTCATAGTAATCTGACCTTTCGAGCGATCGGCATTTTGTTGAAGATGTTCCACAGGACGACTCCCACAACTCTTTTTCCTTTCACGTAAAACACGACACCTTTACCAAACTCCTCCGATGATTCAGCGGAGACTGGAGCGGGTGGCTCAGTGGAAACCGGAGAAGAGGCAGCACCCTAAGGTAAAAACAATAGTTAAGCACGCACAATTAGATAATTTTGGTCTCAGAATTTAGTTCAAAGTTTATCACTGTCAAGTTTTATACCTCGCCTTCGGTTTCTGAACGTAAACTTTCTCCCGTGGCCTCCACTACAGCTTTAGGAGTGTCTGCTTTCGTCGCCTTGGCCCAGACTCCCACGGTGGGGAGCATGGAATCTACAAGACCAATAGCCTCGTATCCAACATCAGGACCCAGGTCACTCCTACCAAGTAATACAAAGCATAGTTGTTGCAATTCCAGGTCAATGGACAATTTCCAAACCGTACCCTATTTCTTGTCAGGATATATTTATTCTCCTTGAAGCAGAGAGGCATTGCGAAGTCCCCATATTGGCCCTAGCAATTTCGCGAACTTTACTGTTCGATCTCAATCGGCCATTCACGAATTCTTTTGCAAAATAAACTGATTTTACTCATCCCACGAGAATTTTAAGTTGGCTGACTTCAACCGAAGTTCCGCATGCGTTCTTCTTGAAACCATCACATTCATTTGATTCCCAAATCACGGCATTCATCTGCAAATCCATCGGTCAGTAAATTGTGTTTCCCCCCCAAGCTTTAATGCAATTCACAACACTCTCTTTGGCAGAGGGATTTGGAAAAAAAATCAGTTCGATTAAAATCTTCATTTGACAGAGAGAAAATCAATTGGAAACTGCAAAACCAAAACCTAATTAATGGCCAATTAAAGCAACGAAAATATCTCAAGAGGCCAAACAGAACTCAAAGTAAGAATTTGCAACTCTATGGGGTGTCGGAAAACGCAAGTGACAAGGTCGCGCCTGGTTTTTGAAAGGGTTCCGATTGATTGTGGTGTAAGCCGAGTTTGGTTGAGGACAATCACAGAGCGAAGTTCTTTTAATTCTGAACTCAAAATTATCATTTCTACTGACCAAAACATGGACTGATGCCAATATGGGTTCCTAGAGCCAGTCATATTTTCTCCCGCCAGTCGGCCGCTGACCACAGCGTGATCGTGGTGTTCAACTCTTCGTCGGCCAAGGTTCGGATCATAGAAGCAAGCAGCATCACCTGCCTGACCAAAAAAAATTTTCTTTAATTGGCACTTTAGGGGAAAAATTTAAAAAACTGATGCATATGCAGCCCTGTCTAGGAAATGAGGAAATAGGAGAGAAGGATATATTGACCAAAGACACATGAAAACATGAGCTGCTATTTGAGTTGCTTACCACCCAAATATTAGACTTTGCTTCCAGCTCTGAGTTCACGTGATAACCACCAAGGATTGGGTCCACTTCAAGCCCAGCAGCACTTGCAAGCTCTACATTAGGTTCCAGACCTACTGCTACAATTATGTGATCTGCTTTGATCTATGATTTTATAGCAAAAGAAGGAAAAAATGAATCTAAGATAAAGTTAAATACTAGCATATAAAACATTGCTCTACCTCAAAATTATCAAAACTAACCTTACACATAAGAGTTACTAAGCAAGAGGAATCACTATAATTTAGTTACTCACCTCATCACCAGAGTTAAGTCTCAGGTTTATTTGGCCATCGCTAAATGACACATGTTCTACTGTGGAATTTGGTTTTACATCCACACCCTCTAGATGATATGAATCAATGGCAAAAGTATTACATGTGTTGAACTTAAAAAAGACTTGCAACAGAGTTGTATATAAGACCTGCTGTGCAGGAAACATCATTGAGTCATCAGCTGGAAAGGTGGCTGAGAAAATTTCTTTAATCAGTCTCTTAAAAGGTTGTCTTTTTGGACTAGAAGGCTTCTGCACCATGTGAGCCAAGATGATGCAAGGGCTACATATGTAGTACTAACAGCTTTCAAAACTTTTCCTAAATATTTTGTCTAATCATAGTAGACATGGCTGGATGAGGTTAACATAGCATAATGTGTGAAGATTGATAATAAAACTTGATACCCAGCTACCCATGCTTTTTGTCCACATCTGGCTTCATTAACATCCCTTCGTCAATTCACTCATGGTGCAAAAAAAAATGTCTAAGTTTCTCCTACCGTTCCTGACTTTGTTAGTTGTCCATTCTGTAAGATATTTTGGCAACACTTTTCCCATGTTTCCATCCTCTGGGAATACTTGCATCACATTCATCCCAGTTTTCTTTCCTGATGAAAAAAAAAATGAAAATTTGTCTCCCTTGGCAAATTGCAACATAAAGGTTTTAAGACTTAAACTTAAATCAATTGATGTTGCAAAGGTGAAAATATATATTTTTGATTGGTTCTTGCCTTTGATCTATTGGAGGGCAGATACATACATGGCAACACCATTAACAATATTTTGCTTTTTTACCATATGAAACAACGAGAATCCATGTTGCAATGCATCTGTAAGGGAACTGATCACAGGAGATGTTAAAATGTGAAAAGAACATCGATGAAACCCTCAGCTGCACCTTGCGTGTCATCTTTTTGTTCTGACCAAATTTGACCTATTACTGAACAGAAATACATGTACAGCAACAAGGAATTGATTTGTTTAATAGCTACTACAACAGTGTGGTACCTCTGTGGCCAAGTGCACAGGCCAGTTCACTTCCAAGAAAGCCTCCACCAACAACAACCACAGATTTGGCATCTTTGACAGCTTTATCAAGCTCCTTGAAATCTTTAATCTGAAAATATGACAAAGATTAGTCCTCATATTTTAGTCTTCCATTGAGTAATAACAAGACTAGTATAATTAGGCTTTTCAAACAAACATAACATATTAAAGAAGTGTAATTACTTCAAGAAATTTCAGACTACTGCAAAAATAATGCAGGAAGGCACTTAATGTTTGAACAATTTCATTAAGTCCTTAAAACTGGTTTTTCATGTTAATTTTAATGTATATTCTTTGCAGATCAAGAGGGAAAATCCTGGAAAATATATAATACCAAAATTACATTAGTAGCATTAAGGGACTCGCTGATTAAAATACTTTTTCAAGTGCATGAATGTCTGTTTTCATAGGCTTTAACAATTTTAGTAAAGTGATGTGTTCAAATTTTCAACCCCCACCCCTCCCCCCAAAATCTGATGATCCCAATATAGTTCTCCCTTCTAGATGCTTAGAATTTCTTCATAAATTTGATGGGGAGGTTTTTTTCAATTATGTTGAGATAATATTCCTGAACTGATAGGTTTTTCCATTTTGTACTACCTTCCTGCTTAGTTATTCATTGACACTGTTAGGAGAAGTTCCATGCTATTAACCTCTGTGAGCTAAATTTCATTCATCTCACCTTTCTAAATAATGTTGTTCTCTTCTTGACTTCGTCACTGCTTTCTCTAAAAATGGGCAGGTTCTTTGGAATACCACCTGCACATCAACAAATTTGACATTTAAATTTTATTTACTCTGATGAGTCATTTATCACACATTAATTTTTTTTGCAAACAATAATATGATGTTTATGGCATGCCCATGCTAGACAAAAATACTGAGGATACCAACACTTAGTCTATTAATAAATCTAAATACCAACCTGGGGCCAAAAGCAGTTTATCGTATCCAATCTCTGCTCCATCATCTAACTTGACTTTTTGTTCTCTACTGTTAATTCCTACAACCTGCTCAGCACAAAAAACAAAAAGCACTGTCAATCAAAGCCAAATTAGTTGATTTATGATATAAATAATATTTCTCGCTGACAATGACCACAAACATGCATGTGTGTGGTCATCACTGGCAGAAGGGAAGCCTTAAGTTTGTAATAATAAGATGTTTACAAGAACTTTACAATTTATTGGGGGGCTTTGAAATAGCAGAACTCTGCAACTTATTCTCACCTTTTTCCCTTTGAGCAGAGCAACTGCACCCGTCTCCTTACTTGGTAATTCACCAGGTTTACAGAAAAATATCTCTGGTTCAAAAAATATTCTGCAGTGCAAAATAAACAGAACAACATTCAGATTTCCAATAAGAATCTACAACCTATTACATGCGCTCTAAGCTGCTTTAAAAGTTCGCACGTATCAAATAAATAGACTTAAGTACTGAGAATTTAATATAAGCTAATGAAGTTATCCTGTCAGTTAAAGAACAATCTTACCCCCTTTCCTTTCCATTCCACTGTTTGAACTTCAGATCTGACACCAGTTCTTCATCATCACAGTACCACAGCTCTTTAGAAAGTGGAGGCCGCATGTATGGCGGATACTCTTCATCTCCTATGATCAGCACCTGAGGTGGCAAACAATGGTTTAACCCTTTCACTCTCAAGATCTTCATAGTAATTCTCCTTGCTGTCTGTTATACAATTCTTGTGATGTTAGTGCAAAGAATTAGGTATTAGATCAACTCAGAATTAATAATTTCTTTATTCTCATCACTTGTGCTCTTGATATTGTCTTGGGAGTTAAAAGGTTAACATAACTTACCTTGAAAACACTCAAACAAAAGTTGTATGATGTATGATTAGCAAAAATGAAACCAAAGCCCAGTGACTAATTTAAATATACTACAATGTTGCATAAAACTACAGACACCAAGGCTCTCTGGAATATATACTCTTAAAACTCTCTACTTATTCCCCATGATGATCTAAAATTGTTACTTCACATACTTCAAGAAGTCAAATACCTTTGCAGACTTGTCAGCTTTCCTGATGGCTCTGTAGGCTGCAAAGGAAGCTGTGCCAGCACCCACCAAGATATATGTTGCATGTTCTGGAATTTCTGGCAAGGGGGGTGGTGCATCTACAAAAATGGGTGGACACAAAAAAGTGCACAGAGTTTGGAAGAGGAATGTTCATGTTAGCTCATGTTTGATAGATAAAAATTAAGTAGCAAGGCAGTCCCTTTTAGGACAAACTTCAGTGATTCACCATATTTTCTTGTGATCAAGAATCTTCTAGGAATAGCAAGACAAAGTAATCTGATTTGTAATTTCCAATTCTTTGAAAGCTTGTGAAATCAATTTTCTGCTAAGCACAATCCTATGAAAAGCAGTGGTTTCCTGGAGAATTTCCCAAAGCATAAGACAGTTCAAGAGGGTACACAAATTAATATTCAACTAAAAAAGAGAAACTGCTTGAAATGTACTGGGGTTTCAAGTGGTCCACAGTGAAGGCTCCCCCCCCCCACCCCTCATTAGCTACTTCTTTACTTCTAGGAGGGGAAGGGGACGGCAAGGTATCAACAGTCATACATAGAACAAAACACTATACCTTGTTGTGAGGTAATTTCCTGACTTGTCTCTTCTTTTGGTTCTTTGACAGCTGGGCTCTCTTCTTTGGTTGATTCTGATGGAACTGCCTCATCAGCAGGCAGCTGTGATAAGAAAAATTTTGGACATTATTCCTTCAGTAGCTCGTCAATTGACACTTTTTCCCATAAATTTTGAAAATTTGAAACTTTTTTGACTCATCTCTTAAACTTGTAAAGTGCAACAATAGCTGCAGTTGTATATATCTTCAGTTCCATTAAATTGATAAAAATTACCACTCAAACTTTAAGTACTGAATACTGTTTAAAGTAGGAAATATTGCTGAAATATCCATAGAAAGAAAATAACAACCACATTTAAGCACAAGGATCATAGATTCAAGCCAATTTTGAAGACCTTGGTATTGTTTGTTTCAAGGTAACTTTTCTGACTGATCAAATATTACCTCACTCTAGATATTACATTATCAATATGATAATCATCTCTCTTTTTATGTTTGATTTTGTAACTCACCTCTACTGCAGCATCCTCAGAAACTGCTGGTTTTGATGAGGGAGATTCATAAGGGTTAAACATGCCACTGTATACAAGCTTGAAATAAAAAAAAAACCAAGAAAATAGATGATTTCCATTAAATATACTGCTACTGTCAGTCAATATCAACAATTCATTCTCACCTCAAATGCATTTACTATTTCAATTTAAAAGGCAATCACAGAGTAACATCTTTGAATAACTCTGAAGTTCAAAGGTAGATCACTGTTTATTTGGAGTTTTATATAAAAATAATCAATAGCAATTTGGGAATAACAGCCCAGTTATTTGTTTCAAATAAATTTTTTTTCCTTTAAATTGGATAGTCCTCAGTCATCTACAAAAGGCTGAAAAATCATAAACATAAGCTTGTTAAGTCCTTTACACTTAGATTTTCACTACCTTCTCGAAAACACAACGAAATAACCACACACAAGTACACAGAGTGTATCTACCCATATGACTTGCAGCCAAATTTTTCTTGACTTGAAAGAAAGGATTTGTTTTGATCATATCACCAATGATCTAAGGGTCAATTCTCTTTACTACCTGCCAAATGTACATTTCTTATAATGCTAGTTACATGAATTTGGTGTTAAAAAAAATGATATCCTCATCTTGATATTTTTCATTGTCTCAGGACCATTCAAGTTTTCCATGTACTGATGTAGTAAAGAGAAACGATATATTGATCATGCGAAAGGTTTGAAAAGAAATCATCCCCTTCAGGACAAGTTACTTCACCAACATGACAAAATATGCATTGGTCGATTGATATAACTTCACATGAAATTGGTATCTTCTGCCATTATTACTAGGGTGTGAAGAATCTGGACTCTTCTTCATGGTATATTGGAAAGTTATATTGAAGCAAGAAGACTTTTTCCCAGTGACAAGGTGTCTCTCATTTGA